TTTGCCATTCCATTCAGTGGAGATGATGGTCAATGTAGCTGTTCTCTCTTCTTCTTGATTCTCTAATCACAACCCAGATTTAAGTTGTATGCATGTTGCTTTTCTTCTCCAGCAGTCCGTGTGATTTGTTGCCTTTTGCAGCTGAAGGTGTAAATATACACACAACTTATAAATCATTGAATCTTAACTTCTTTAGCAAGGGTTTGTTTGAGAGTGCTGCTTCTTTCTCAAGACATCTAGTTAAACTTCCTTTTGGTTCGACTTTTATATTTCCTTTCTTATGTTTCCTGTAGTTGCCTTTGTAGGGGAGGTGGACATGGAATAGCTTTGCAAGTGACATATTTTAGATATGTAAGTTCAGGGGGAAAAACCTTACTATAGTAAGCAAATAATAATAATAATAATAATAATAATAATAATAATAATAATAATAAGCTGGGTTTTTTTGGTCATGTCAAGAGCGACTTGAGAGACTACAAGTCGCTTCTGGTGTGAGAGAATCGGCCGTCTGCAAGGACATTGCCCAGGGGATGCCCAGATGCTTTGATGTTTTTATCATCCTTGTGGGAGGCTTCTCTCATGTCCCTGCATGAGGAGCTGGAGCTGATACAGGGAACTCAGCCGCCTCTCCCCGGATTTGAACCTTCGACCTGTCGGTCTTCAGTCCTGCCGGCACAGGGGTTTAACCCAATAAGCTGGTAATAAGCAATATTCAGGAGCGACAAGTGAGTCAATAATAATATTTTCTGGATAGAATACTATAATGTTTAACCAGCCTATGCACATTCTCTCTTGACCTTCCTTCTCTTTGTGAACATACACACAGCCAAGCACAGTTCAACATGTGTACTGTGCGTTGGATCCACATAAAGTTAGTTGGACTACTGAAGTCAGAAGGACAATTTGTTTAGTATTTAAATTCAATTGATTTTAAAGGGTATTAAATCCAACTAACTGAATTTGGTTTCAGCCCTGTGTACACACTGCTTCTGTGTGTTCATCTGGCTGGGAGAAAACATGACTTAAGTATTCATGCCGGGCTTACCAGGAAAGGTTTGCATCAATATCCCTTCCTTTTATTTGCATGCTATGACTTGTTTGCCCAAGAGCTGGCATCCAAACTAAATACCCGGCCATTCCCATTATATCAACAACACTGCATTAGAAGGGAGCATAACTGAACATAACCATTTCCCAGGCTGTAGTTCTGCTCACCTTCACTTATAGCAAGCCCTCTCAAATTATGTTGGGTTTTATGAAAAAACAGGTACATTTTGAGTTCAGTATGGAAGAAATTGCTAATGCACTGCATAGGAAGCAACATGTATCACTTGCAGTGTTTAGAATAGTTGAGAAAGATTGTACTGTTGTCCCATCACATTTGTGGTTTTGCCTTTTATTGATATGCTCTCTAGCCCCTCCAGTGTGACAATATGATCAACCTCCTAGTCATGCTGAAAGACCCAGATGTTTTGAGAGAGGACACCCCTCTATGAATCTCTAGGTACTCAATTGTGATTCTGTGGTCATTTTCAGAAGACATTGGCTATAAGTTATGATGGACGATGTAGAAATTCCTAGAAAGGTGTTCTCACAAGTAAAATAATAATAATAATAATAATAATAATAATAATAATAATAATAAACAACTTTATTTCTACCCTGCCCCCATCTCCTCTGATGAGGACTCGGTGTGGCTTACATGGGGCCAAGCCCGGACAACATAATACAGCAATAAAATCAACACATATACAGCAAACAACAACATCATCATCAAAATAACATTAAAAGGAAAAAAAATCATAAGACAAAGAATAGCAATTTATTTATTCTGTATTCATGTTCTTTCACTTCCACTGAGCTCTTATTTCACTAACAGATAGAGGGCAGACTTTATTTTGTCTTGTTTTGTATAGTATAATAAAAACTAGACATTTTACAAAATTGTTCGTATCTGGGTTTACTTGGTCTTGCATCCTGTCTTAGGATTCTGCATTTCTTAGGGCCCTTCCAGACAGGCACCATATCCTAGGATCTGATCCCAGGTTTTCTGTTTATCCCAGTTTATCTGTCAGTGTAGATTCATATAATCCAATTTAAAGCAGAAAACCTGGGATCAGATCTTGGGACATATTGCCTGTCTGGAAAGGCCCTTACTGTGCAAGCCTGTTTTTATCTATACAGCAATATGATTCATGAAGTTTACCAGAATTGACTCCTACATGGATGCATTTAGGATAGCAGCTTTAGTCAGTTGAATGGACAGTGTTGATAAATGTCCCCTATGGACATGAGTAAGGCTTGGAGAAAGAAAAGTGTAAATAATGTGCTTTGTCTCATTTAGTAAATTTAGATTGTTAAAAAAGACTTGCTGAAGAATAAGAATAAGATAATAATGACAATAATAAAAACACCCAGGACTTCTGGATATACCCCCATGGATTTGTATATAAAAATAAAATAAATACTTGCATCTGTATGTATGAAGCCTTCCCCTCACTTTGAAAGAATAATTGTGTACTGTTTCACAAGACTGTTATTTGCAACTGAATTTGAGTAGAGTAAACTATATGGTATCGCACTATAAACATCTAAGATGTCAAAACAACCTAAGAGAGGGGGAGAAAATGAATCAAGTATTTCTATCTTTGGAAACCATTGCCTGCTTCAATGGAAGGTTTATAATAAAAATGAGAGGAAAAACATAGATTTTTAAAGTATACATTTGATTGCTTTCCCTGCCTTGGTTTTCTGCTTATGTACTGTTAAAATAATCAGCTTAGTGTTTGTACTTGACATAGCAGATTCTTGCTAAGGCAACCACGAGGCATTTGTCAGCAGGCACAAAAGCCTTTTGTATGCTCAAATACAAATCCAGCTTGGCAGCAACAAATCCTGGGTATCAGGGGTACAGGCTCACCAATCAGGGTTTGCCTTCACTTTGACACACATGTGGTTGGCTCCCTTGCTGCCTGACATCCTCCTGTGAAAATGCTATCTTTTGGACTTCAGATCATAAAGGTAACCTAACCATTCAGTGATGAAGTCAGTTTTCACTAGCCTGGTGCTCTGCTGGGCTGTTATACCCACTGCAATAATTATTTATAAGTCGTGACTTTCATCTTTCTAGTTCCTATTACATTCCATCCCACTCCTCCAAATGTGAAAGTATGTTTCATATATCATGAAACCTATATCTGAAGAAGTGGGCTTATATACATGAAAACCCATTCTAAAATAATAATAAAGTAGTAAGTCTGAACAAAACATGTAGAATAATCACAGGATGTCTCAAACCTACCCCTGTTGATGGACTCTATAAGATAGCTAGCATTGCTTCCTCCCCCCCCCCCCCCCCCCCCCCCCCGGAAGTGCGATGGGAAGTTGCTGAAAACTTTGGCTCAAATCAAGGAAAAGTTTCACGAGAACCACCACTCCCCTTAATGTTCCTCTAACAACAGCAAGAGTATCCCTCTGGGCAGCTAAACCAGGAAATCCCAAATGGATGCCCGCCCCATGAGGTTCTTCCTCCAGGGACAAACCAAGAATGGGCAACTTTGAAGTCTCTGAACAGACTCAGAAGTGGAGTGGGCATATTAAAAGACAACCTGGCAAAATGGCACTATCTAGAACAGGGGTCCTCAAACAGAGGGCCAGGTCACAGTCCCTCAAACTGTTAGAGGGCCGGATTATAAATTGGAAAAAAAAAATATGGATTCCTATGCACACTGCATATATCTTATTTGTAGTGCAAAAAAACAACTTTAAAACAATACAATAATTAAAATGAAGAACAATTTAAACAAATATAAACTTATGAGTATTTCGGTGGGAAGTGTCGGCCTGCTTTTGGCTGATGAGATAGGACTGTTGTTGTTGTTGTTGTTGTTGTTGTTGTTGTATGCTTTCAAGTAGTTTCAGACTTAGGTTGACCCTGAGCGAGGACTGGGTAAATGCTTTTGGAGGACCGCATCCGGCCCCCAGGCCTTAGTTTGAGGACCCCTGATCTAGAAGAATCCCCCACTTTGTGCAATTGTGGAGCAGAACAAACAAATCAGCATCTGTATGCTTGCTCACAATGTCCTGCCTCATGCACAGAGGAAGAAATGTTTAAAGTAGTGGTTCTCAACCTGTGGGTTCCTAGGTGCTTTGGCCTGCAATTCCCAGAAATCCCAGCCAGTTTACCAACTGTTAGAATTTCTAGGAGTTGAAGGCCAAAACCTCTGGAGACCCACAGGTTGAGAACCACTGGGTTAAAGCTACAGACAATGCAGTTGTTGTTGCCCATTTTTATCTAAAATTATTTAGCAGCTTGTGCTTTCTCTATTTTATCAGCTTTATACTTGTTTATTTATGCAATCCTTTTGACATGAAATAATAGTAATAGTCAGTCTTAAAGATACTTCCACATTTCCTTCCCTCCCCCCTGTACCTTCCCATCCTCCTTTTTTATTCTCGCATGGCTACTTCTTTGAAGATGATGGAATAATGTATCTAGAGGGCCCAAACTGGGAAAAACTGAGTTAAGTTGCAAGATAGGCCATATCTATACAGAATCCCAATTAATGGTCATAAATGTGAAGTTACATTGTGAATATAATACTCTGTTCTTTTTTATTTAAAATCTATTTCTCTCTTGAAAACGTCCATCATGAACATTTCTTTCATTACTTCATTGATTTACTAGAAATGCACCAAAGTGAGAACAGGAGTAAAGGGTACTTGTAATAGCATTTATTATCGGTCTACCTATTTGTCAAATTGTCAAACGTACAATGGTTATAATTAATTATGTAATATTTACAAGTGTTTCAGAACTGAAAGATTTGGAGAAAAGGCTGATTCAATCTGGGGACATTTCTAGTTTCAGCTAAGCAATATGTAGACAAAACAAGTCGTTTTGCTTTGACAGCAAATCATATGATCATATTACAATTTGATATTATTTTAATGTCAAAATAGATCTCTAAGTCTTCCCCTTCTTTTTTTTCCCTTTGCAGGGGATTTGGAAAACAAGGGTTTCAGTGCCAAGGTAAGCAACAAATATTTTAATAATGGCTTTCATTTCTATTTTAATCATTAAGTCCAGGTAAAGTCTGAAAGATATGAGGAGAAGGAATTAAGCATTCAGGAAGAGTATTGAATTATCTACAATAATGTGCATTGTTTAATCATTTATTATCTCATGAACTGTGAATCATGCATTGAAGAATTTCATTTTGGTAGAGTTTCCTAATATTAAATGCCATGCAATCTGCATATAGAACACTCTTTAATTTTTCATGAAAAGAATTTCTGTGGTTTATTTTGGAAGAGAACATTTTTCTTGTTGGGAGCTGGCGGTCTCTGTGTGGGTGTTCAGAAAAGTGGATTCACTTTCCACTGGGTTTCCTTTAATGCTCTAATCTCTCTCTTTTTCTCCTTTCATAATCTACATGGGAATGCATTCTGATGAACCTTTATTTTCAGCTGTTTATGTTTTTGCATGGAGAGGAATACAGTAAAACCCTTATGAATGAATTTGCGTTTAATGTACCTAGTTGGCAGTGAACATTTCAAATGTTTGTCTTGTGATGGAAAACAACACTTTTTGTTTCTGTGAATTACATTAATTGTCGTAATATGAACAGTAGCATCAATCAAAAGATGCCGTGAACAGAGAAGGTGAACAGACAGAATTGCCTTGCAGCTCTTAAGTCCATGTAGCCCATCCTGGTGCAGTTCACCAGCCACTTAGGCAAAGGACATGAGCCGTATATGAGTGTTGCATTCTTTTACCTGGAAATACCAAAGACTAAGTGGAATTTTCTTGTGGTCTATCAATGAGCTTTCCCCTTTCTCTTATTGTGTTGCCTCACTATGGGTGCATCTACACGTTAGAGTTGATGCAGTTTGAGGGAACCCTTCTCTAGGCATTTGTAGATCCTTCAGCATGATCTTCAGATGATTCTTCATGATTTTCTTGCAAACAAACTAGTAAAATGTGGGCTAGACAATACTACTATTAAGGGGGATTTGTAATTGGTAAGTGACTGAACCCAAAGGGTGCTCACTTACCAATTACTGGAAAGAAGTGACTACATTATGTCACATGAAGAGGGTTTGGGCTCAGGCCCAATACTGTTCAACATCTTTATTAATTGATCCTGATGAAGGTTTAGAGGGCAAGCTTATCAAGTCTGCAGATGACACCAAATTGAGAGGGATAGTTAATACTCCCAAAGACAGGATCAAAATTTAAAATGACCTGCAGGCTGTTAGGAATTGTGGGAGTTGAAGTCCAAGACACCTGGAAGGCCGACGTTTGCCCATGGCTGGTCTAGATCAAGGGAAGTCATGGTGCCCCTCTATTCTGCTTTGATCAGACCCTACCTGGAATAACACTGTGCCCAATTCCAGGCACCACAATTTAAAAGAGATATTGACAAGCTGGAAGGTGTCCAGAGGAGGGTGACTAAAATGATCAAAGGTCTGGAGACCATGAATCCCTATGAAGAACAGCTTAAGGAGCGGCACATGTTTAGCCTGCAGAAGAGAAGATTGGGAGGAGATATGATAGTAATGTTTAAATATTTGAAAGGATGTCATAAGGAAGATTGAACAGGATTGATTTATGCTGCCCTGAAGACTAGGACTCAGAGCAATGGGTTCAAATTACTGGAAAGGAGATTCCACCTGAACATTAGGAAGAACTTCCTGACTGTAAGAGCTGTTCAACAGTGAAACTCTGCCTTGGGGTGTGGTGGAAGCCCCTTCTTTGGAGGCTTTTAAACAGGGGCTGGATGGCCATCTGTCAGGGGTACTTTGATTGTCCTTTTTCTGCATGTCAGGAAGCTAGATTAGATGACCCATGTGGTCTCTTCCAACTGTATTCTATTATTCCAGTAGACACTGACTATAGAGCCGTGCTGGAGGACATAGAGATCCATATTTGCATGGTTCCCCCACATTTGTGGGATGCATGCATTCCAACTCAGCAAATGAGGAGAGCCCACAGTACATCTTAATTGCTGGCTTTGGCTTCAGTGACGATTCTGCCAGTGAGCAGAAATACAATGAATTTGAAATATCGCATGCTCCCCTTTCATTTCACACTAAAGTGAATTTTCAGATGTTTAATTTTAGATTTAAAGGGGCTGCCTTCCCACATATTACTTTGGTATTAACTTTGACACTTTAGTGGTCTGCGCATAGAACTCTTAAGGGAGCCGGAATTTAAAATGTAGGTGACCTGGTTTTTCTTAAGCGTTGTCGATTACTGGTAGAAGCTTGAATATGTATGAATATGTTCTGGCTGTTGTGCATGCTGGGCAGGGGGATAGAGGCTTTACAGGCAATTGGTAGAAAGCATTTCAGTAACAAGGAATGCTAAGTATCTTGGCTTGGATTCCAGATTCCTCTGAGCAGAATTCTACTCATGGGATGCTTTCACTGTCAAGAAGTGAAGGAAACTAGTTTTGCTTTCCCACTTATCCAGAGAGTAGTGATACAGTCTGGTGAAACTGTGTTGTAGTTGAAACAAGAGGCTTCAGGAGAAAGGCTATGCCACCCTTCCTACCTGTGGGAACTTCTGGTGGACTTCAGTCTCTTTGGACAACAAAATGAGACCTCTGTTCTTGGAAGGGCAACGATGAAGTCAAGCCCTTTAGGGTAAATGCTTTCGCAAACAATCTAATCTCCCTAGGTTTACAAAATGGCAATATATGCAGGCACAGTATAGTTGTGACATTTAAATGTGAGTCTGGTTTTGTAATTTTAAAAATTGAGGTCAGCGTATTATTATTATTATATGAATACTCCATTTTATCTCTTCCGAAGGAGACTCAAAGCGTATAAAATAAGATTCCATGAATGGGAAAAAACTTTGCTGTGATGTCTCAGAGCGATCCTTAATAATTAAGCAGTACTGCTGGCCCTTGGTATCTGCTGAGGTTTAGTTCCAGGCAGGCCCATAGCCAGGATTTTGCTTCGGGGGGGGGGGGGGGGGGGGGGCTGAGTCTGAGTGAGAGAGGATCTACCCTAGGAAACCTTTTGTATCATTATCCCAATACCCCCATGCGTATGGGATATATTGAGCATGGTGATCAGATCATAATATGAATAAACATAACAGTTTAAATAATGTTCCAGTAAGGCCTTCTCGCAGATCACCCTGAGTATTTCGGGGGGAGGGGCTCAAGCCCCTCAAGCCCCCCCTCCCCCCCGGCTACATGCCTGGTTCCAGGACACCCATTGATACTAAAATCTGTAGGTATTCAAACCCTATTAAATACAGTGTTGCAGTAAAATAGTGTCCTTTATACAAAGTGGAAAAATCAAGGAATTTGGAATTTTGTTTAAAGTTTCAAGGTGTAGATGGTTGAATCTGTAGATGGTGTGGTGGAAGGTCCTTCCTTGGAAGCTTTTAAACCGAGACTGGATGGCCACTTGTCAGGGGTGCTTTGATTGTGCTTTTCCTGCATGGCAGGGTGTTGGACTAGATGGCCCATGTGGTCACTTTCAACTCTAATAACTATGTTTCTATGAATCCATGGTTACAGAATTCATCAATATGGAGGGTCGACTCCTTTTACATGGTTTCTGTGGTAGGAAAAGATCAGCTTAAATTTAAGGTGCTTCCAGACAGCACTAAATCACGAATTTTAAACAGGAGCAAAAAATCCTGGGACTTCAGAAGTGGTCAACATCAGACCTGTTGGTTTCAGGATTTCTGCCTCTGCTGTCCAGACTTGATGTTTTGTTGCGAGATTTAGAGGCTCGAAGGTTGGCCACTGTGGGACTTTCCGCTGGAAACTTTGGCATTTTCTTAAAAAACCTTCAAGATGTGCATATGTGGATATGTGGAGAATCACTGCAAAACTTCAGTTCTTTGTTCTGGCTAGAGAAACTGTGCCCTCCAGACATTTCATGAAGTATTTGCTACACAAACAAAGTTTACAGGTTAGGTAGGACCACTTCTGTCCAAGTCAGCACTGCACAATCAAACAGGAAGACACACTTTCAAGCCAGGAACATAACTTTGTCATTATTGACTCTTTTTAGAGCTTGGTTGCCTGACCATCTATCTAGACAGATTTGGTTGTTTACTTGTAACATCAAACAACAGAGTGCTGTCCCTGGTTTATACATGGCTGTCCCTGATTGCTCTTTTTGTGAAAAAATGTACAATGTTGACTAGGGGGCCACAACTTTGTCCTGGCCAGAGAAAATGTGCCCTCCACACTTTCATGAAGTTTCTAGCACACAAACAAAGTTTTCATGTTCTACTCAACTTTCACCTTCTTTTTAGAAACCAAACAATCAGGAACAAATATCTAAAACCTGGGAACAAACCTAGATAAAAAAATCATGTGATTTCCGATTGCAGGGACATACAGACATTCGAAGATGCAGATCTTCAGCTCAAAAACATGATATTCCCACATCTGGAAATGTTGTGTTTTTTGCCTTTTGTAGTGATCGCTTCCGTATTTACAGGGAACAGTGTCTGGCCACCCTCCTATTTGCTGCAGAAGCTCCTGGGATAAAGATACTGTGTGGACAGGCCCTAAGTGTGTATCAAGGGCTGCTAAGGGAAATCCTCATAGTGAACGTATGTAAGATTTTTTTGGTTGGTGAGGAAAGGCAAACTGGGATCTATTTGTACCTGTAAAAGTTTCTGGCTTTCATGAGTATCCTTCACCTATGATTGCTATTGGATTAATTATCTTTTAGGGATGTCACTTCTCAGTTGTAAAGATATTTCATGTTTGGTAACAGATATGCTGACCTAGTGATCTCTCTGTGTGATGATGTAATTGACTTGTAAAATGAAGCGTGATACTATGTAGCGAGTACAAAGGGCTTTAGTGTGTTCAAAGTATTTGTGTACATTCATCTTCATGGTGACTTGGCAGGTTAGGGTCTGCAATGTGATTGTCATCATATTGCACGTGGGCAGGGAGACACTAAAGCAGAGAGATAAAGGGATCCCAGCCTTAAAGATCATGGCCATGGCTTTGACTTTTGCCCATTTTGCTTATTCAAGGAATT